GCGAGCAACGCTTTACCGTCGTGGAAAAGTACAGCGTCGACCTCACCGAGCTGGCACGCCTGGGCAAGCTCGACCCGGTGGTCGGTCGGGATGACGAAATCCGCCAGGTGATGCAAACCCTGACTCGCCGCACCAAGAACAACCCGGTGCTCATCGGCGACGCCGGCGTGGGCAAAACCGCCATCGCCGAGGGGTTGGCGATCAAGATTCTCGATGACGACGTGCCCGACTCCTCCGCAACCGGCGCGTGATGGCCCTCGACATGGGCCGTCTGGTCGCCGGCGCCAAGTTTCGCGGCGAGTTCGAGGAACGACTCAAGACCGTCATCGACGAGGTTACCGCTGCCCAGGGCGAGGTCATCCTGTTCCTCGACGAAATGCACACCCTGGTCGGCGCCGGCGCCGGCGAGGGCGGCCTGGATGCCAGCAATATGCTCAAGCCGGCCCTGGCCCGCGGCGAGTTGCAGGCAATCGGCGCCACCACCCTGGACGAATATCGCAAACACATCGAGCGGGACCCGGCGCTGGCTCGCCGCTTCCACCCGGTGTACGTCGATGAGCCCACCGCCGAGGAAACCATCACCATCCTGCAGGCCTCAAGCCCCGCTACGAAGCCCACCACAAGGTAACCATCACCGATGCCGCGCTGGAGGCCGCCGTGCGTCTGAGCAGCCGCTACGTTACCGACCGTTTTCTTCCTGACAAGGCCATCGACTTCATCGACGAAGCAGCCAGCAAGGTTCGCATCGACGCCGGCACACTCCCCCAGCAGGTGCAGGAGATGGAGAACAAACGGCGCCAGCTGGAAGACCTGGAACTCCGGGCCAACCAAATGGGCGACTACGAACGGGCCGCTGAACACCGCACCGAGCGCCTCCGCATTGAGAGTCATTGAACACCGAGCGCGAGTCCATCGAACACACTGCCGGCCCTGACCTGGTGGTCAACGAAGAGGACATCGCCGAGCTGGTGTCCCGGTGGACCGGTATCCCGGTGGGCCAACTGCTGGAAGGCGAAGCCCAACGCCTGCTGCAGATGGAAGAATATCTGCATCGCCGGGTCATCGGGCAGGATGCCGCCATCACCGCGGTCGCCGATACCATCCGCCGCGCCCGCTCGGGGCTGAACGACCCCAAACGTCCCTTCGGCAGCTTCATCTTCCTGGGGCCCACCGGCGTCGGCAAAACCGAATTGACCAAGGCCCTCGCCGAATTCCTGTTCAACGATGAAGAGAGCATGGTTCGACTCGATATGTCGGAATACGGCGAACGCCATACCGTTTCACGGCTCATCGGCGCGCCTCCAGGCTACGTCGGCTACGACGATGCCGGCCAGCTGACCGAGGTGGTGCGCCGCCGGCCTCACCAGATCATCCTCTTCGACGAAATCGAAAAGGCCCACCCCGACGTTTTCAACCTGCTTCTCCAGATCCTGGAAGACGGCCGCCTCACCGACGGGCACGGCCGTACCGTCGATTTCCGCAACACCGTGGTGATCATGACCAGCAACCTGGGCACGGGCGACCTGTCGCAACAACCCTTCGGTTTCAAGGCCGGGCCGGATATCGAACCGGAATCGGGCACGGTATCTCCCGAGCTGTCCCGCACCGTGAACGAGGCGTTGCGCCGCGCCTTCCGCCCCGAGCTGCTGAACCGTATCGACGAGACCATTGTGTTTCACCCGCTCAGCCGCGCCCAAATCGGTCAAATTGTGGGCCTGATGCTGGGCGAGGTGCAGGAACGGCTCGCCGAGCGCAACATCACCTGCGAACTCACCGAGGCCGGCTGCGAATGGCTGGTCAAGGAAGGTTTTGATGTCAGCTACGGCGCCCGCCCGCTCCGCCGCGCTATCCAGCGCCACGTGGAAAATCAGCTATCCCGGGGCGTGCTTTCCGGCGACTTCAACGATGGCGACCACGTCCTTATCGACGTAAACTCCGCCGGCAACGGACTCGACCTGTCGTGACAGTCACCGAGCCGGAACTGGTGCCGGTGTCGTAATCCGACCGTTGCATAACCGGCGCTAATGCTCAGGCCGGAATTGCACCTTCGCTCCCCTCACCCCAACCCCCCTCTCGGTGGGAGAGGCGATTTTTACGCCACATCGCCCGCACTCCCTTTTGCATTGGCGCGCCGTGTTCAAGGTAACGGTGAATTCCTGGGCGGCAGTGAAAACCCCGGCGGTGTAGCAGGGTTAGAGGGTGTCTACTCCCTCTCCCCTTGTGGGAGAGGGCTGGGGTGAGGGGTCGTTCCCCCGCTATTCCACCTCTCCCCCGAGACTCGCCAGCAGCTTTTTAGACACCCTCTTAGTTCAGCAACAGCACCCCGGCTGATACTGCCAGCCACACCACAATTGACACCAGCAGCGGCACATCCCGCATCATCAGCAGCTCTGGCGATTCGGCGTCCTGGCTGTTGTTTAGCAGATACAGGTTACGAAAAAGCCCAAAGATGACCAGCGGCACCGTCAGCAGCATGGCGTTATTAACCGGTAGATTTTCGCCCTCCACTGTGTACAGAGCGTAACTGACCAACGCCGCCGTCGCCGCCAACGTGAGCAATTGCCCGCCCAGCGGAGGGGCATAGTGCTGCAAAGTCCCCCGGTGTTCCGACGGTTCATTTCCGGCGACCTGGCGCGCTTCAGCGTAACGCCGGCCCACCACTATGAATAGCGCTCCGGCGGCAGTTACGGCGTACAGCCACGGTGACGGCGCCGCCCCCACCGCCAACGCGCCGGCCACGGCACGTAGCACGTATCCACTCGCCACCAGCATCACATCCACCAGCGCTACCCGTTTTAAACCCGCCGAATACACCACATTGATGCCCAGGTAGATCGATCCGGCCAACACGAGCGGCCATCCCAAAAAGTACATGACCACCAAACCAACCAAGGCCAGCGCCAGCGTCCCACACTCCACCAACGCCAGTCAGCCCCGCGATCCACGCGCCGACGCGATGGACGGTCGACGCTATCGTTTAACGGATGCTGACGGTCAGCCTCCCTCTCCCGGTCGTGTTTCAGTCGTTCAGTCAGGTACACGGCGGAAGCGGCGGCGCAAAACGCGGCAACCAGCGCCAGCAACCGGCCCAGGTGCGGCAACAGGGTTGTCAAATCGTCCGCCGACCACACCAGGTCAACGGCGAACAACAGCGGCAGAAACACCAACAGGTTTTTCACCCACTGTCGAGGCCGCAAAGCCTTGAGCAAGCCCGTCAGCCCGGTCATGGCTCATTCCCCACGACGGATTCCGGATGGGGATCGTCGTGAGACTGCGTGTAGACGCCTGCGCCCACCCGAGTCAGCAACAGCCACCCCAGCAGTCCCACCAGAACGGCCAGCCAAAGGGTGGCACAAACACGTGTCAGCCAGCGTACGCCGCGATGCACTGACCACCCGTTACGACGACCAGCTGATCCGCAGCTGCAACCATGCTACCCTCGAACCCGATCAGTCCAACCGGCAGCGCGGTAATCGCGCTTCCCACCATCGACGCACGCTAGTCAGCGACATGAGCACAAGCGCCACCGTCAGGGCCAACTGCTCATCCAGGCCAAGCACAATCACCCAAAGCGCCAGGCCCTCCGCAGCCCAGGCCAGCGCTCCCAGCGCCACCGCTGCCGCCAGCATCCGGGGAGCCATCAGCCGACGCACGCCGGCCTGCGACTGCGACAGCGGCTGATGCCAGCGTCGCAAAACGGGCAGCCGCAACACCGCCAGACCGTATTTCGATGCCGCCAGCAATCCCGCTACCAAAACCGCCGGCAGAACTGCGCCAATCGCGATGCCAACTGCGGGCGGCAGCAACGCCAAACCCACCAAAGCCAGCAATCCAACCGCAACCACATCGGTAAGACGCGTCATGCTCCATCACGACGGCGGGAGCGGATTGCGCGACCGGTACGCCGGCCCGCTGCCTCAGCCAACGCTTTTCAGCAGCTCACCCACCTTGCCAGGAGTGATCGACAACGCCAACCCGGCCACAAACACCAGGAGGCACACCGACTGCGGCACCCGAATGTTCAGCGCTCGCAGGTACATTGCCCAACGGATGTAGCGCAACGCATAGTTCAACACCGCCAATCCTGCCGCCGCCGCAAACCAGACGGGCGGGAACCGAGCCAGCAAAGGCCCAATCTGCCGGACGTCTCCATAGGCCAGCAGGCCCGCGAACACCCCGACGGCCAGCAAGCCCAGCAACAGCCATCGGTTTCTACTCACCGGCTGGCTGCCCGTCAGTGGCCGGTTGCGCCGTCAGCATCAGGTAAATCTGAGCTGCGCGGGCGCTCAGCGGCGCCAGACTCGTTGTCGATATTCACCACCGACACCCCTGGGGCGCAGGCGTTGAGCATCCCCAACAACGCCGCCAACCCCTGAAAACTCGCTCCGTAGCCAACCCTCGTAGGCACCGCGATGACGGGCGCAGACACCAGGCCGGCCACCACGCTGGCCAGCGCCCCCTCCATGCCGGCCACCACCACGATGATTCTTCCGGCCCGCAGCGACTCCAGTTGCGCCAGCAACCGATGCAGTCCCGCTACGCCCACGTCGTTGATGCGCTGCACTCGGCAGCCCATCAGCTCGGCGGTTACGGTGGCCTCCTCAGCCACCGGAAGGTCGGCAGTGCCGGCGGTAACTATCATCACGCCGTCCCGCTGGGGGTATTGTCCCTCGCCGTCAGGAACCACGATGCAGCGGGCCAGCGCCCGGTACTCTGCGTTGGGCACGGCGGCCACCACCGCGGCGTAGGCATCTGCCTGGGCCCGCGTCACCAGCACGGGATGCCCGCGCCCCGTCATGGCAGATACGATGTACTACCTGCGATCTGGTCAGGTGTTTTCCCCTCCCCCAGCACCACCTCCGGCCAACCGGTGCGCAGCGGACGGTGGTGGTCCAGCAGAGCGTACCCCAAATCCTGATAGGGCAAGTCCCGCAGCATCGCACTGCGTTGTGCAGCGTGGCACTGGTGGATCGTCTGCGCCGTCTCGCACCCGTTGCAGCAGCTGGTGCAGCGCGGCAGCATCCATTCTTACTCGGTCTCCGCCGCGGCCAACAGAGCCGCCTGAGCTTTCATTAGCCGGTACAGGGCACCCAGCGTACCCATGCCAACCACGTACACGGCAAACACCGCCACCCCAGACCACAACAGTGCGACATATTTGCCCGGCATCTCAAAAATGAGCATCATCGCGAGGGCAATAACCACCAGGATTACCGCCGAAACTGCACCTAACCAGATGCCGGACCTGATCGCCACCGCCAAAGAACGGGCGACCCTTCGTATCCACGTACCGCATTCCCAGATAGGCCCCAATGAACGGGCCAAACGGCGCCAGCAGCAACTGGGCAATCGGAACCACGGTACACCCCAGCATTACAGCCAACGCCGTTAACAGTCCTTTAAACATGTCGGCACGCAGTCATTTCGGGCAGGTCAGGACAGCGTCGAATCTCGCCATCAGGCAGGTCGACTAGCCAGTATAGCCCCTGCCCACACCCTTTGCATCGACACGCTGCCGTCTAAATCGCCGACCCTGGCCGGTGTGCAAACCGTCGCCGCAACCGAAATACCAGAACCCCAAACCCCCTCACCCGCATCCGCCCGCATTGTCATTGCGAGCGTAACGTGGCAATCGCCGCGAGGTTGAACACACGTCGGCGAAACGCCGTTGCTACGACGACGAGATTGCCACGTCGCTGTGCTCCTCGCAATGACAGATTAAAGTGGTTGCGCGTTAACCCCAACCTCTGGATGGGGCTGGTTTAGCGAGGCCGTAAACAGGGTCTTTCAATTGTCCCCTAATGTCATTGCGAGCGCAGCGTGGCAATCTCGTAGCCGTATCGACCAACGCTGTCGCCAACTCACCTTTGGCCGCTACGTTCCGATAATCGAAAGGCCCTGGACCGTGAACGCGCCCCCAGTCTCCGGTCCATATCCTCTGTATAATGTTTCGACTTGCCGGTGTCCACATGGCCGGTGTCCGCATGGAGTGAACGCTAATGAGCTATCAGGGAAGTCAGGAAGGGCAGGACGGCCCTTTCGCCGAGCTGCTGGGCATTCGCCCCGGCGAGTCGGCGGATGGAGTGGGCACCGCGTTCATGACCGTTGAGGACAAGCATCGGCAGCGGGCCGGCGTCGTGCAGGGTGGCATCTTGGTGGCCTTGGCGGACTACGCCTTCTTCCGTGCCTGCCGTTCTGTGTTAAAAGAGGGCGAGCACGCGGTAACCATCGAACTGAAACTGAACTTCATCGCACCAGCCCGGGACGGCGAGCTGACGGCCCGCAGCGCCATCAAGAATCGCGGCGGTCGTATCATCGTGGGCGATATGGAGATATTCGGCGCTGACGGGACTTTAATCGCCACCGGCATCGGTACCTATATGACGGTTTTCGCCCGTCCCACCACTCCATCTACCGATTCTGACTAACCGTCCGGCTGCGAAAGTCGCATTGTCGCCAGCGTGGTTGGCATACTCGGGCGGAACGGTTATAATCTGATCCAGACGGAGGTGGCGGTGTGCGCATCCCCATGAAAGTTGACTACGGCGTCCGTGCGTTGGTCGAGTTGGCCATGCACTACGGCGATGTCCCGGTGCAGACCGCGACCATCGCCTACCGGCAGGGTATTCCAGAGCCGTATCTGGAACGCCTGATGTCCACATTGAACAAGAGTGGATTCGTCCACAGTCGCCGCGGGCCCCAAGGCGGGCACCTGCTCGCACGCATCCCCTCTGACATCAACCTGTATGACATCATGCAGGAGCTGGACGGCAACGCTTCACCACTGGATTGCCTGACGCTCCCCACCGATTGCATGTTTGCCGATTCATGCGCCCAGAAAGAAATCTGGCAATCTGTTGAGGACTCCATCCAGCAGGTGCTGGAAGCCACCACGCTGAGCCACCTCGCGGAGCGCCAAAGCGCCCTCATCGACGCAGCAGACCGGAGGGAAGCATTGCAGCCCGCCGAACCGCCGGTTCCCGTTTAGTCACCAGGGCAGGTCTGCTTGACAACTCCGAAATTCCGGCGATAAACTGACGCCGAAATGCTGCTCCAGCAACTGCCATTTTGCACCTGCGCCTGTCCCTCCAAATAGGGGGCAGACGGATCAACAGTCGCCCCGCCTGCGCCCAGCAATTACCGCCTGACGGTTTTGGGGCTCGGGTTTTTCTTTGTAGCAACGGGCCGCACCGTCCCCAGGCACGGCCGCTATCCGCAACCCAGGAACCGCCAACCGGGAGGAATCCGAAATGGTCCAACCCCTTCGCTTGACCCCAGATCAGGTCAAACGCTACAGCCGACACATCATCATGCAGGATGTGGGCAGCGCCGGCCAACGCAAGATGATGGAATCCAGCGCGCTGATTATCGGGGCTGGCGGCCTCGGCTCCCCCTCCGCCGTATACCTGTCGCTGGCCGGCGTCGGCAAAATCGGCATCGTCGATTTCGACGTTGTGGAGCTTTCCAACCTGCAGCGGCAGATTTTGCACCATACGTCCGACGTGGGTCGCCCCAAGGTGCAGTCGGCCAAGGACAACATCCTTTCGTACAACCCCGAAGTCGAGGTGGTGCTCCACGAAACCTGGCTCACCTCGGAAAACGCCTTTGATATCATCGGACAGTACGACATCGTCGTCAACGGCGCCGACAACTTCGCCACGCGCTACCTGGTAAACGACGCCTGCTATCTGCTCAACAAACCGTTGATCGATGGCAGCATCCTCATCTTCGACGGCCAGGCCACCGTGTTCCTGCCGGGCGAGGGCTGCTACCGCTGCCTGTTCCCGGCCCCACCGCCTCCCGGCATGGTGCCCAACTGCGCCGAAGCCGGCGTCCTGGGCGCACTGACCGGACTGGTCGGTTCAATCCAGGCCACCGAAGCCCTGAAGCACATTCTCGGTATCGGCGAGAGCCTGTCCTCCCGGCTGCTGGTTATCGACGCCCTGAGTATGCAGTTCCGCGAAGTGCGTTTGCGGCGCAACCCCAACTGCCCGCTCTGCGGCGACAACCCCACCGTCACCGAACTCATCGACTACGAAGTCTTCTGTGGCGTGGCCGAAATTCCGGAACCCGCCGCCATCGCGGCCGGCGCAGTGTAACCCTCCTCCGTTCTCACCTCTCGCCACTGTGGAATTGCATCCATGCCCGCCAAGGGAACATACAAGGGAATCCTGGACACCATTGGCAACACCCCGCTGGTGGAGTTGCAAAACCTGAGCCCCAACCCCAACGTACACATCTACGCCAAGTTGGAAGGACAGAACCCCACCGGCAGTGTGAAGGACCGCATCGGGCTCAGGATGATCGAACGCGCCGAGGCGGACGGCGAGATTACCCCCAACCGAACCATCCTGGAGCCCACCTCCGGCAATACCGGAATCTCCCTCGCTTTGGTCGGCCGGCTGAAGGGTTATAAAGTCAAGGTCGTCATGCCCGAGAACGTGTCGCCCGAGCGCACCATGCTGCTGGAGGCGTACGGGGCGGAGATCGTCTACTCGGACGGCACCCTGGGCACCAATGGCAGCGTCGTCATGGCCCAGGAAATTGTGGAAAAGAATCCGCACGATTACCTGATGCTATACCAGTACGGCAACGAGGGTAACCCGGAGGCTCACTACGAAGGCACTGGTCAGGAAATCGTCGAGGCCCTGCCCGACGTGGACGTGTTCGTGGCCGGCCTGGGCACCGGCGGCACCCTGATGGGCAACGCCCGCCGCCTCAAGGAGCACCGCAGCGACATCAAAATCATCGCCGTTGCGCCGGAACCCGACGACTTCATTTCCGGCCTGCGCCGCCTCGAAGACGGCTTCATCCCACCCATCCTTGACATCAACCTGCTGGACAACCGCCTGCTTGTCAACAGCTTCGATTCCTTCTACATGACCAAACAGTTGCTGGACAAGGAAGGCATCTTCGCCGGCATCTCTTCCGGGTCAGTGATCGCCGGCGCGCTGAAACAGGCTGACCGAATGGAAGGCGGCAACGTGGTGTGCCTGCTGGCGGACGGCGGGTGGAAATACCTGAGCAGCCAACTCTGGACCAAGGACTACGAAACCCTGGCCAAAGAAACCCAGGGCAAAATCTGGTGGTAACCAACCCCACGAATCCACGCACCATCGGGCGGCACCTGCAAAGTGCCGCTCCTTTTCATCGCTCCCCGCGCCGGAACCATTGAGCCGCCTCTCCCTTGATGGGTTAGGGTGAGGGCCGGACCCCGAGCCTCACTACCCGCAACACCCGCCTCCTGTATTGCTCCGACCCTACGCCAATGCTATAATGCCGTGAAACATCGCCCTGTTGTGGGATGGCAGCAACCCGGACGCAGCCGATCCCCAGCGAGAGGTTTATTGGGACTAGTAAGCGGGGCGCAAACCCGCTTTCTTGTTTAAAGCCTCGTGGGACATGCACAAAATTAACGAACCTCAACCAGCGGGGGACCACGATGAAAAGCGATTTCATGATGGCATTAAATCAGCTATCCGCTGAACGTGGTCTGGCCAAAGACCAGGTGCTAAGCGCCATCGAAGTTGCCTTGGCCTCGGCATTCCGCCGTGATGACCCGGCGGGCGGGCAAAACCTGTCCGTAAAACTTAACCCCAACACGGGTGACATCAGCATCTTCGCACTGCGCACCGTGGTCGATGAGGTGGAATCCCCGGAAACTGAAATCAGCCTCGCCGAAGCGCGGGCAACTCGCCCCAACATTCAGGTGGGCGAGGAAATCGCAGAGTCCGAAGAAGTCCCTCACGACGCCAGCCGGATCGCAGCCCAAACCGCCCGACAGGTCATCATGCAGCGCCTGCGCGAAGCGGAGCGGGAGAAGATTTTCGAGGAATACTCCGCCTATCAGGGCGAGCTGATTAGCGGCAACATAGAGAGCGTCGAAAAAGGCCCCACGGTATTCGTCAATCTGAACCCCCATCAGGCCCAGAACCAGAATCGCGCGCGCGGAATCATGCGTCCCGACCACCAGGTCGGCAACGAGCGGTACCGCAAGGGACAAAACCTCAAAGTGCTGCTGGTTGAAGTGCAGCAAACCCCCCGCGGCCCCGAAGTCGTGGTCAGCCGCTCCCATCGGGATCTCCTCCGTCGGCTCATGGAGTCGGAAGTGCCCGGAATCGGCAACGGTACCGTGGAAATCCGGGCCATCGCCCGCGACCCCGGCGTCCGGAGCAAAGTCGCCGTCGCTTCACACCAGGAAGGGGTAGACCCGGTTGGCTCCTGCATCGGCTTGCGCGGCAACCGCATCCAGAGCATCGTCAATGAACTCCAGGGCGAAAAAATCGACGTCATTGAGTGGGACTCCCAACCCCCGTGTCCTGATCACCCGGGCGTTGAGTCCGGCAGACGTGGGCGCCGTGGAACTCGACCAGCACGAAAACACCGCCTACGTAGTGGTGCCGGAAAATCAAATGTCTCTCGCCATCGGCCGGGACGGTCAAAACGCCCGTCTCGCCGCCCGTTTGTCCGGCTGGCGCCTGGATATCAAGAACGTCGAGCAGTGGAACACTCTCCGAACGGCGCGCGCTGCCGAGGCCGCCCGTGCCGAGGCTGCCCGCCTCGCTGAAGCGGAAGTCGTCGCCGCCCTGGAAGCCCGACGCGCCGCAGAAGCAGCAGAAATGGCCGGCGCCATGCCCGTCGCCGAGGCCGCGGCAGCAGCAATCGCCGAGACTGGCCTCGTTACAGAAGCGACAGGCGCTGGCGAAGTCGTTGAAGTTGTCGCCCAGGTTGAGGCTGCCATCGAAGCGGCTGTCCCTGCCCTCGTCGAAGAACTCGCCCCACCAGAGACCATCGTTCCTGAACCGGTAGCCACGGAATCCGCAGTCGTGGAAGCCGTCGCCGCCCCGGTCGAAGCAGAGCCGGAGATTGACGAGGACGCGCTCCTCGATGCGCTCATCGCCGCCGAAGAATCGGCAGCCGTGGAGCCCGCCATCGCCGCGGCTAACCAAACCGCCGGCGTAGGTCTCAGCGTCGATGCCCTGGGCGACCTGACCATCGAAGATGTCATCGACGACGAATCGGCTGAATTCGACGACGAGGAAGAGGAAGAAGAGTTGCCCGAAGACATGGGCGACCTGCTGGCCGGGTTGCCTAGTCTCGCCCCCGACGCCGGCAAGATTCGGTTCGCCGAAGACATTGTTGGCGATTTCAGAGGCGGCGAGGGACGACGACGACGCGGTGGCGGCGCCCGTCGCGGTGGCAACGTTCCCGGTGCCCGTGGGCCGGGTGCTCGCCGTCGGTAATCAGGTAAGCGCCATTCCGAAAGCGCGACACATCCCGGAACGTAGCTGCGTCGCCTGTGGCCGTAAACTCGCCAAAGGCGAGTTGATCCGCCTCGTCCGCACACCAGGCGGCCCAATCCTGGTGGACGAATCCGGTCGGCAAAATGGCCGCGGCGCCTACGTCTGCCACCAGGCAATCTGCTGGGAAAAAGCCCTGACCAAACGGGCCCTTGAACGCAGTCTCCGTGGTCCAGTCTCCGCCGAGGACCTGAACGTACTGAGGCAATACTTTATCGAAACTTTCGCATCTTGCCCCGCCAACATTGGGTCTGGCGATTCCGGCAACGCAGCAACCACACACGGGCGACGCTAACCGCGTAACCCAACCGGAACGCCAGTCGCTCCGTTGATGAAGAGGTGTTGAATATGACCACTGAACAACGCCAGGCGGGCAACCGAAACCCCCGTCGTGGAGAAGTACGCCGCAATACACCCCGGTCCCTCACCCTACCGGAGTCACTAACCGTCAAGGAACTGGCCGAGTTGCTCGACCAATCCGATGTGGATGTTATCAAGCAGTTGATGCGCCACGGGATCATGGTGTCCGTCAACCAGGCCATCGACCACCAGGTGGCCACTGTTGCCGCCGCCGCCTACGGCGTGCGTACCCGACAGGCCGACACCGCCGGCGAAACCGGCGCCCTCACCGCCAACGTGGGTGTCGAAAACGACGCGGACATGAAACCGCGGCCTCCGGTTGTTACTATTCTGGGCCACGTTGACCACGGCAAAACCAGCCTGCTGGACTACATCCGCAACTCATCCGTGGTTGACAAGGAAGCTGGCGGCATAACCCAACACATCGGCGCCTATCAGGTCGAACGCGAAGGGCAGCCGATAACTTTCCTCGACCAACACGGCCATGCTGCCTTCACCGCCATCCGCTCTCCGCGGCGCCCGCGTCACCGACATCGCAGTCCTGGTGTGCCGCTGACGATGGCATCATGCCCCAAACCGACGAAGCCATCTCCCACGCCAAGGCTGCTGACGTTCCCATCGTCGTCGCCATCAACAAGATGGACCTGCCCGACGCTCAGCCCGATGTCATCTATCGCCAGCTCAGCGAGCGCAACCTTCTGGTCGAACAGTGGGGCGGCGACGTTATCGCCGTGTCGCTGTCGGCCCAAACCGGCAATGGCGTGGGCGACCTGCTGGAAAACCTCTCCGTGCTTGCCGAGGTCCTGGAGCTCAAGGCCAATCCCGACCGCTCCGCCGCCGGCGTCATCATCGAAGCCACCCTGGACCGACGCCGTGGGCCAACGGCAACCGTGCTGATACAAACCGGAACCCTCCGCGTCGGCAATCAGATCGTGGCCGGCGGATCCTGGGGACGGGTCCGAGCCATTGCCGACGAACGCGGCGACCCCATGGATGTCATCCTGCCCGGCTCCCCCGGCGTCATTACCGGGTTGAACGCCACGCCGGAAGCCGGCGACATTCTGCAGGTGGTTTCCGACGACCGAACCGCCTCCCAATCGTCCACGCGACAACGCCAACGCACTGCAACCACCGGCAACCTGGATACCGTCCTCACCTTGGACAACGTGGTCAAACAGATCGATGCCGGCGACGTGAAAGAACTGGTCCTGGTCGTAAAGGCCGATGTGCAGGGTAGTGTGGAAGCGGTCACCCAATCCGTTGAAAAACTGTCTGAAGGCGACGTCAAGAGCCCGCGTCATTCACTCCGTTCCGGCGCAGTCATCGATTCCGACGTCCAGCTGGCGGCGGCGTCCAAGGCATCGTAATCGCATTCACGTCGGTTTTGAGATCGGCGCTGAACGATCGCCGAACGTCTCGTGTCGAGTCCGTACTACCAGATAATCTACGGTTGCGGAGACGTTGAACAGGCGCTACAGGGAATGCTGGAGCCCGTTTTTCGAGGCTGTTACAATCGCCGCGCCGAAGTCCGGGAAATCTTCGAGCGCCCGTGGTGTTCGCATCGCCGGTTGTCGCGTGTTTGGACGGACGCATCGTGCGCGACAGCTCAGTACACATCACTGCGAGACGATAGACAGTGTTGGAAACCAAAACTCTCAGCTCCGCCACTGTCCGCGACGAGGTTAACCAGGCTACTGCCGGCACCGAGTGCGGCATCATGCTCGACGGTTTCAACGAGTATGCTGAAGGCGACGTTATCGTGGCGTACCGCATGGAACGCGCTAACTGACCACCGGTTCGGTGGAGCTATTACCGCCAACTCCGGTAGCCGACTCCGAGAACCCACCCTGGGAAGCGACACTTATGACCGACAGCAGGCGAATCGAGCGCGTGAACGGGGTACTGAGGCAGGAAATTTCGGCCCGGTCTCCTGTCCCAGTTAGAACGACGATTGAAGGGCGCTCATCTCCATCACTGGGCGAGACGCCCGCGCCGATATCTGCGCTAACGCCGGCGTGTACTCACGACGCTGCGCGATAGCGCTCACGGCAGGAGCTCGTGGAGGGTATCCGGTCATCCGCCGCGTACCTGCGCCGGGAACTGCGGAACCGAGTGTCGTGCGTATATCCCTTTATCCGGACATCGACCTGGCGAACACGCATGCTTGAAGCCGACGCGCAATGCGCACCATCGCCGAGCGTCCTCGGATACTAATGGCAGCGACCGTCCGTCACGCGGCAGAACGGACCTGCACGTAATGTCCGCAAACTGACCGTTGACCAGCGGCAACGGTATGCGCCTCAATTTCTATAACCGGCGGTCGCCTCAGCCTCCATGGAAGCCCTCCGGCGGGTGAAAGCATCACTCGCCAGCGCAAAACGTTGCCTGCCCGCCAGGTGACCCCGCTGCCGATGTGCGTGTTGTCCCTCCATGCTCGACAGAGCCACCCCGCCATCATGGAACCATGTCGTGTCATGCGCTCGGACAACGTTACGTCATGGAGTGCCACTGGAGAGTGCAATCCAGCGGACCGAAGCACAATATGACGAGCCGCGTGAGCATACCCACGGTTGCAGACCCCACCGTCTTTCCCGTCGCACCAGGTTGAGCACGCTGATTGTGCCGCAACATTCATCGGCGTTATCGACGCAGGTGCCAGCCGATGTACAGCAGCGCACTCAAGTGTGGACGGACAGCGATGACGACCATTGCCCGCGGCCGGCAGTGTCATCGAAGGAACGCGTCCCCGTCAGGGAAGTCGAAATCCACCCCATCCCAAAAGATCGACACGCTCGACTGCCCCTCCTCTGCCTGCCATCGTATTGCTGCGCGCGCGGCCCTATCTGCGTTCGTTCGCGTACGTCTGGGCGCAGGGCGTTTTGGTTAGGCGGTGGCTACGGTACCGCCGCTGGCCCGTGTCTACTGCGGCGGCTTCTCGGCGCCCGAAGCATACCCTCGCTGTGCTCGAGACAGCCGGGACGATTGGCACGCGCTGATGTCCATCCGGTGACTGAGGCGGCGTCTACGCGACCTGCCGACGTGACCCGGTCCATCTGCTCAAGCCACACTGCCATGCCGCAATCGGCCAGGCCTGCTCTTCTCAAAAGCGTCAGCATGCGACGGACCTCAGCTGGCGAGACGAAAAGCGCCGCGCCTACAGCCCCCGAATGATGTCTGGGTCGCGTGCTATCTCTGGTAAGCGCTTGTGGTTCAGTTCATCAATCAGACCGCCGGCTATGCAGTCACCCGGGTGTTTCAGAACCACGAACCATCTGCCTGTATGCCGTGCCTCTACTTATCCTGATGCCTCCGCGCGGTGGGACCGCTGCTATTGCTGATGAAGAGAGTAGCCCGCACTGCCAACGTTGCAACCGACTGACGCGTGTCCGCTCCAGCTACACGTTTCGGGTCCGCGGCGGTAGCGTCGGCATCACAAAATGCAGCCGTTGTGCGATGCGACACTGGCCTATGCTGCGCCGGTTTGCGCTAGTATCGCCAGCGTAGTCGTCGGCACGGCGCTCACTGCGGCTAAACCATGGAGACCACCATTCTGGGGGTCACTACACACGCTGCGCGTGGAACATCCCACTCACCTATTTCGTACCCTTTCTGGTTGCCACCTACGGAGCCCTCTCCAACAGCCGCAACTAACCCCAGGGTCCTCCGTCATATGCCCCATAAATGCCCCGCTCATCCTGAACCTGTCGAAGAGCGGCTCTCCGCCACCTAGTCGTTATGTTACTTAGTTTAGTTTTTTACGGCGCAACACTATCCACCACGCGCCCCTTAACTCCACGTTGCTGCACGCGGCTCGACAATTATGGTATCCATGGACTGTGTGTGGCCGTTGGCAACCGCCGTGCGAAGCCTTCCCGGTAGAATTTTTTCAGCGTCGCTTCTTCTTCTTCACGCAACCACGCCACCACCATCTCACCGTTGCGGGCGGTGTTGGTTGGCTTGATCACCACGACGTCACCGTCGTCGATCAGCGCGTCAATCATGGACGTGCCTTTAACCGACAAAGCAAAGAGCGTGCCGTGCTTCTTCTTCAACTCGGGCCGGACTTCAACGGTATCAAACTCAACCGACGCAACGCCTCCCTCCGACGAAAATGCCGGAATCGGCTCACCGGCAGCGATGTAACCAACAATCTGGACGCGAACCGCGCCGTTGGTCACCGGCTGTCCGGTCTCATCCAGCAACTCAATACCTCGCGCTACTTCCGAGCGACGCTTCAGGTAGCCGTCCCGCTCCATCAGACGCAGATTGTAATCAACCACCGAGGTGCTGCTGATATCGCAGCCTTTCTGAATATCCCGCACCGTAGGCGGTATGCCATTTTCATCAAGAAACAGTTGGATGAAATCCAGGATAGCCTTTTGTCGGGGTCGCAGGCTTTTTTGCGCTGCCATCGGTGATAACCTCCGGGCCAGAATGCGTTACGTTATATCACGAAAACTAATGTTCGGCACGGATATCCTAAATCCCGCGAAGCTGTTTGTCAACGCCGTAGCGTCACCCAGGGAACAACCGGCAAAAATTGCCGGGCAGGAGCCGGAGGTTACTCCCGGCTAACTCGCTTCCATCTTCTGCAACGCCGCAGCCAACCGGGCCTTGCGGCGGGAAGCGTTGTTCTTGTGCAGCACACCCTTGCGCGCCGCGATATCCAGCAGACGCATCGCATTGCGCACCGACTCCGCCGAATCAGCATCGCCGGTGGTCATGGCACGGCGAGCCTGCACGATTGCGGTACGGGTGGTGCGGCGGACACTCAGATTGCGCGCGTAGCGTTTCACGGATTGGCGCGTGGCCTTTTGGGCGGGCAAGAGGGCAACTCCTGAAATGTGACGGGTTCCATCTGTAAGTCTAGGGGATAGATGGTATCAAACTGCAGGGTAAATGTCATCCGACGCCGGCCCTCACGCGTACCCACTTTGTCATTGCGAGCGTCGCGTGGCAATCCCGTCGCAGTAGCAACGGCGGTTCGTCGACCTGTGTTCAGCCTCATCGAGAATGCCACGTCCCTCGACGAGCTCGGGATGAGCGGGCGCTCCTAGCAATGACAAAGTGGGTACGCATCCGACACGGGCCCGGCCCCGGCCTTTCGTTTAGCCCAACCTCCCCTCTGCCTCCTGGGGAGCGGCCGGGCGTGAGGGCGCACCCCTGGCCTTTCGATGTTCAATCGTTCGATGTTCAATTGTTCGATGTTCAAATGAAGGTGATCATGAAAAACCCGCCGGCCCGGCTACCCCGCCATATTCGCACCTATTCACGCCCGCTGCCCCGCTACGGTCCAATCGACGCGTCCCCACTCGCAACATCCATTATAATGACCCCCGAAGCGCTCCCCTCGCGATCCCGGTCAAACAATCACGTTCAAGAACCCACAATATTGGTGCCGACGCCCGATATTGATGCCGGCGCCCGATCACTGCCCCGCCGCGCGCCACCCAGTGCGCCCTTAGGAGACCCGTTATGTCAATTACCAGCCTGACCCGCAGCGCCGTTTACGGCCAGGATGGAATGGTGTCCTCCGATTCCCCCCTTGCGGCCTCCGTTGGCTCGCGGGTTTTGCAGGATGGCGGCACCGCGTTCGACGCGGCCCTCGCCGTGGCTGCCGTCGAGTGCGTAACCATCGTTCCAATGTGCGGCCTCGGCGGCGACTCGTTCATCCTCGCCTACGATGCCAACTCGGACACCGTCACCAATATCAACAGCAGCGGAGCCGCTGCCGCCGGCGCCGAGGCCGAGTATTATCGTCAACAGGGTCTGGCTCTAATGCCCATCGCCGGCCCCCACTCGGTTTCCGTCCCCGGCGAAGCGGCTGCCTGGGAGGCGCTCCACCGGAAATTCGGCACGCTGCCCTTTGCCGAACTGCTGGCCCCGGCCATCAGATACGCTGAGAACGGTTTTCCGGTGCCGCCACGCATCGCCCGGGTGTTTGCCAACAGCACCGAACTGCTGGGCCGTTTCAGCGCCACTGCCGATATCTATCTCAGCAACGGCCGACCACCCCGTGAAGGTGAGATACTGGCCAATCCGGACCTGGCCGCCAGCATCCGACAGGTTGCCCAGGCGCGCCGTCGCTTCTATCGCGGCCACTTGAGCGATCAGATGGTGGCCGGACTACACGGCGCGCGGTCTGTTCACCACGAGACCGACTTTCATCAACAACCATCCGGGAGGTCGAGCCTTGTTGGCGACGCCATCAGCACCGACCTCATTGACTACCCTGCGGACATCGCGTCTACCAGACCCGCCGCCGTCCCAGTGATTCCTGCTGTGCTGGAGATGCTCAACACTCGTCGGCGGCACGACCTCACGTCCCTGACACCCAACTACTCCGCTGATGCCATCCACCTGCTGGTTCGATCCAAGAAATTGCCTACTCCGACTCGCTACCCCACCGGCTGGCCGGAGACCCCACTCGACTTCGTGGACTGGCCCTGACGGATTGCTGTCCTCCCGAATACTCGCTATAGTCTGCGCGACTCAGATTCACCCCTCCATGGCCGGTCCCAGAGGGTGCGCCCACTGACCCCGGTGACGGTCGCGGCGACACCACTACTTCTGCGCTCTGGCAGACGGCGCCGCAATGCCGTCCGCTGGATCCACAGCCTCTCCAACGGCGTTTGGTTCCGGGTGGTGGCGCCGGGCACCGGAGTTCTTTCAAACCGCGCCGTCGCGGCTTCACCCTCGAAGCCGACCACCCCAATGTCATCGCTCCGGCAACGCACCATGCACACCCTGAACTGCTACCTCACCACCGTGGACGGCGAGGTGGCCATCGTCGGCGGCACACCCGGCGGCGACTTCCAGCCCCAGTGCGGAATCCAGATGCTGACCAAACTCATTGACGGTGGCCTGAAGGCGCAGGATGCCGTGGAATCACCCCGCTGGCACAGCTTCCCGGCACTGAACCCGCTAACACAACCGCCCCGGCGAGCCTCCCCCCGCCCCGTAGATGTCGGAATGCCCACGCACACCCGTGCGGACCTTACTCGCATGTGTCACAACGTGGTGCAAAATCCCGCGGCGCGTACCACGGCGTGGTGCAGCTCATCGTCCGCGATCCTCGCCGTGGCGTCCTGACCGGCGCATCCGACCCTCGCGGCGACGGGCAGGCGGTGGGTTTCTGACCGACTCCAATCCCTGACGTCATCAAACGGCGCTAGCAATCCGGCCGTCACCCATCAGGAAAGCTAGTAAACCTGCTGGCAGTGCCCGGTATCGCTCGTCCAAGTCCTCCGTATCCCACCACGAAGTAGTTGGGGATTGTGAAACCCACGATAATAGCTATGTCGACCTTCCCGCCGCTCCACAGCCACACAACCCCCACCAACCCAACAACCCACCACCCAACCCCAACCCCCCACAAAACCACACACACCAAACAAACAAAAAACCCAAAAAACCCACCAAAACAAACCACCAAAACACACAAAAACACCACAAAAAACCAACACAACCACCCAAACCAACAACACAACCAAAAAACCCACACCCACCCCCCCTTTGTCCAGCAACGTGCACAGGCGCAGCGACGCCGGGCTCATCTCACGCAAATGGTCGGACACGGCCACCAGCGTGTGGCCCGTATCGGAAATGTCGTCCACGACCAGCACGTGCCGCCCCGTGATGTTGGCCGCCAGCGGCGTGCCCTCGATGCTGACCGCGCCGGACGATTCGGTGCCGCTGCCGTAACTGCTGGCCCGGATATACTCGACACGCAGCAGGTCGGCCTGCAACTGACGCATCAGGTTTCGGCGGCAAACACGGCGGCGCCCTTCAGCACGCAGACCAGCACCAGCCAACATCGGCGTAATCCCGATCAACGTTGCCTGCCAGCTGCGCCACCACGGCCCGCAACTCCGCTTCCGACAGCAGGAGAACCATGTCGTCCGTTGGAGCCGTGGCCATTCTCCCGCCGGGCCGTAGGAACGGGTTTCTAAACGTCCAGGTTGCGCACTCCGTCGCGTGGCTCTGGATGAAATTCTTGCGCGGACCAACCTGTTCGCCCATCAGCATCTCGAACACATCGTGAGCCTCGGCCAGGTCATGGGCGGACACGCGCAGCATCTTCCTCGTTTCGGGATTCATAGTGGTGTCCCAAAGCTGGTCGGCGTTCATCTCGCCCAGACCCTTGTAGCGTTGTAGCGCTTCGATGGCTCGGCGCGCGCGTCGACATCTTCTCATGGAGCGTTTCCTTGCGCATCCTCGTGTAAGCGTAGGCGATGCTGCGCTGCACCGCCGATACAAGGCGTTGCGCGCTATACCGGACCCGCCGTCGTATCTAGCGGCCGCCTCCTCCGGTAGAAATAGTCAGAATCAGCGTGCGGAGTGCGATGCGACCATCAACGTCCGCGTCGTCTCATGATGATGATGTGTGGTATCGCGAACTTGGCCCGGCAATGTCGAAGGCTTCGCCTCGCCGGGGCCACCACGCTCGATATCCTTGCCCGGATCTCATCGTGGCCGAGAAGACGCTCCACCTTGTCAGAACTCGCTCCACGTTCACCGGATTTTTGCCCTTCAGGGCAGGATGGCCTGGAACTGCCGTCGCGACCCATCTGCGGCGGATCCGCCGGCGGATTCACCCTCCACATGTACACGCTCTGACCTTTGCCGGATCACCGCTTCTGCGCTAGTCCGCAGCACTGAATGCCCTGCTAGGGACGTGCCGTCCAGGCGTTGCTTCCGTGCAGAACCAGTCTCGGTCGCGCCGCGCAGCTCGCGCGCCCGCATGGTTGGGTTGCACACTTCTCGCAGTATGTGCCCAGCCGCACGTGGGGTTTTCTCTCCAGAACCTGGTCTCTCCTCGGCGGTCGCGGCTTCCACGCGACTACGAACTCCGGGTTGCTCAACTTGTTTTTGTCGTTTGACCCTCAAACTAGTGGTCGCCAGCTTCACGCTGATAACGGCAACGAGGCCGCACGCGTATCATCTCCAGGTGAAGGAGTCTGCGGATCCTGAGGAAGTTCTGTCTTGCGCGCGTAGTCGTCAACACCCGCGTCAGGCGCGGACGGAACCGGCCAGGTGCGTGCCGCCTTCCAGGTCAGGATACCGTTGGCAAAAGTTCGCTCATCTGCAGAGTGTCGTGCCATCGCGTGTGGTGAACTGGAAGGCCACTCACGTCCCAGCATCCTCGGCGATGCGCTGGTAGTAGAACGGCATCGTGCCATCGCAATGTTGCGTTGCGTTGATGTGTCCGCACTCATGCTCGCACAGCGGTATCAGACAGAAGAACGATCTCTCATATCACCATTGCGCTCTGCGTCGTGAACTCTCGCTTCACCACAGGCGAAGCTCCAGCCCTTGTTGAGTACGCGCGGTTTGCGCAGCTGAGCCACCAGGCGGAGTGAAATCGTAGTGATTTCCGGAATATCTCCGGGTCGGCGTAATACGTACCGTGTAGCCTGCCGGTGACACACGCTGATGTTCTCCAGCTTCGGATACCGGAATCCCCTGAGCGTAATCCCGTGCGTGGTACCGGATCCCGCCGCGACACACTTCGCGTGCAGATGCGATGCCAGCGCGTTCACTACCGACGCCCAACCCGTGCAGCCGCCACGACACCTTGTACGCATCTTACGCAGCTCCGTCGACTTTGCCGCGGCGTGCAGCCCGGCGTCATACACCGTTTCCAGGCCAGACACCCGGATGTCGGATAATGCGTGTCAAACCGGAATGCCTCGGCCCGTTGTCCGTACCGTAACTGCGCCGTCTGGCGCGTTGTGCAGGTCAATCCGGCGCAGTGTCGGCTAGCGCCTCGTCCACGCGGCATTATCAGCACTCTTTGTGAGATGATGCAGGCCGTCGACCCCGGGCTGCTGCCAATGTACATTCTCCCGGGCCGCACCGGACGGCTTCCATCCTTTCAGCACCTGTATATTGTCGGAGTTGTAATCGAGTGACTGCGCCGTGCCGATGTTGGAACGTGTTGTGTCATAATACATTATGAAGTCTCCGCCATTGCGAACCGGGTCGGCGATGCACATATGTATGCTGGATGGCGCAGCGCATCGCGACACAATATTTGGTCGAATTACCACCTTAATTATACCTGATACCGAGTCTAGACGCATAGAACAACGATCACGATTTGACCGAACAGAAAGTGTCCAAAATCACAGCATTCGCCGTAAACCGCGGCGAACCGACGCGCACCTGCATCTTGGGTTGTACCTCCGCGTTACACTGGGGTGTACCGTGTCGCGCACCGCCTGCCATTCTGCGCGTGTCGCAACCTCTGGGCCAATACATTCGTGCACAGTAGTGTATTTGGTTCGCCATCACACTTCCCACAGTCGACCCTTATGTACCCCGGTATGCTGTAATACACGGCCAGTCGTCCGCATCGTACGCAGCGTTAACGCATCGTCCAACCCCGCCGAACCTCCACCGGCCCAGGGCTCCAGCAACGCCGGGCCCATCTCCTTCCGAGTTGGCAGTCTCCTCCGGCACGTCCGCCGCGATACACAGCGGACAGTTCCGCACGTACATTGACGTCCGATCACGCCGGGCGAACTCATCTCTGCGACCAATCGGTCGGGTATTGGTCCGATGCATACTGCCACGCCCGAATACCAGGTTTTCCGGTGCGTCAATCTCGTAGCAGCCATGTATTTCGGCCCGCCGCTCGTCACAAGTACCGCGATGCATCAGCAATCCGGGCTGGCCCTCGATCCGAGTGTTCTTCGTCATACCACCGTTGAATTCTAGCCGTGCCCTCCGGCACGGTCAACGGATAACCCAATCAACAGACAACGACCTTTTTAGCCGCCAAGATTCACGGTGCGGACCATGTCGCGCTCGCTGCAATACGTTGGGACCAAAAAAGCATGGAAACGTTGCGCAGCTGTCGGCGCGTCTGGATAGCACATTCATCACCGTTGAACACTGGCTGCCAGTTCTCGACCGACCACGGGGCCTCCGCCCGCCATCGACGACTTCTCCTACCCGCTAGTCAATACCACAACCACGGCCGGACAACAGCATATCAATGGCAATTGCGCATGCGCTCGTTAATTGAACAGCGGTTCCGGCGGATCGCGCAACGGAAACCAGCCATAGTCGCCAAATGACCCATCGTCCGCCGTCGGCGTCGGCTCCTGGTCGCCAATCTCTCCCAGAAACTCCACATCCACGTAGTGCGGCATAACCTCGTATCGAGACGACGGTTGAGACTCAGGCACAGCGCGCAGCGAACCCACTATCAGACCGCCGACTCTCTCCCGATCCATTACCCAGGCTGGCGCAATCTCAGCGGAAATCTCGCCAAACGCCAGATGCGGCGGACTGTAACCCAAGTGGCCGCACCGTGTGAGAACCCCGCCGTTGCGGCCAGGACAAACCGACCCGCGCCTCGCACAAACCACCACGCCCACGCCCACCAGAGGCCGATTCCTGTGTACACACCCGAGCAGTATATCACGGGCATTATGTAATTCCCGATGCCCTCCGGTCACTCCTCAGGGTTTTTCGATCGTCCTCTAATGTCATTGCGAGCGTAGCGCGGCAATCTCGTAGCCGTATCGACCAACGCTGTCGCCAGCTCACCCTCGACCCCTACGTTCCGATAATCGAACGGCCCTCCTGTCACTCCTCGGGGTCTTTCGATCGTCCCCTAATGTCAGGGCAGAGCGTGAGTCGCGCAATCTCGTGGCCTGTATCGATCAACGCTGTCGCCAGCTCACCTCGACACAGCTACGTCAACGATAATCGAAAGGCCTTGGGTCACACTAATCTAAAAAACAAACAGGAGCAAAACTTTCGATCGTCATCAAATAGCTTTCACGCTCCTTCTCATGAGCCGTCGAAGCATCAGCCGAGGAAGCACCGTCGAAGGGCCGCCATACCATCCTACCGCCGGCTCCCGCCATTCACGGACTAATGACACCAACGATCGCTGCTCAACCTGAAGACCTCACGCGTACCCATCTTTAATGCTGTACATTGCTGAGGAGCGCTCGCTTATCGCTAGGAAAGTCCCGAGCTCGTCGAGGGACGCGGCAATCATCGTTGAGGTTGAACACACGTCGGCGAACCGCCGTTGCTACGGCGACGGGATTGCCGCGCTACGCTCGCAATGACAAGTGGGTCAGATGCATGGATGGCGTAGGCATGAAAAGAAAGACCTGATCTGTCGCTCGCCGCGCCCGTGTGCTACACATACACTTTTCCGGTTGCCCTTGTCGAACGCAGAAGCGTTCCACACCAACAAACCAGCCAATGTCAGGAGGCCATCCGGTTGTCGCAATTACTTCCCTGCCAACACCAGCTGCCCTGTCGCGCAGCCTGTACCACAGCTGTCAGTGTGCGAGACGGCAGCTCGCCGCCGGTGACTGGCGCGCTCGCGTGTGAGTTCACCTGGAAACAGAGAACACGAGTACTTGTCAAAGGGCGGGCCAACGTGGTAACCGATGTTGACCTGCGTGTGACGCGGGATATCTGATTAGTGGGGAGGACAAATTCCTCTCGATTTCGGACGTGTTTGGGTTGTCCGAGGAGAATCTCTGCGCCAGTGCCCGGTGACGTCTCGCTCATACACTGGGTAGTGGACCCCATCGACGGCCACCGCAACTGTCGCGTGAGGTATTCCCCATTGTCTAAAAGAGTGCGTGCTGCGTCACTCAAGCGCCCATCGCCGATGGCGATACCGTAGTCGCCGGCGCCACCTATGACCCGGTGCGCGATGAGCTATTCGCCGCCCAACGTGGGCATGGCGCAACCCTGAACGGAGAACCCATCTCGGTATCCGACCGCACCGACATCGGCGAGGCGGTGCTCGGCTTCGACCTCGGCTACAACTTCGAGCAGGCCGGCAAGCTGCTGGAGATGGCGAGCAGCATATGGCCAAAGGCGCAGGGCTACCGGCTCATGGGTTCCAGCGCCCTCAGCATTGCCTACGCCGCCTGCGGTCGCATCGACCTGTACTTCCACCACAGCCTCTCGCCTTGGGACATCGCGTCAGGCATCCTGCTCGCCCAGGAAGCCGGCGGCCAGGTGCTCGACCAACGCACACTGGAGCCCGCCAACCTCTTCTCCCCCGGCCTAATCCTCTCCAACCCAACCCTGGTCAGCCAGTTCTTGCAATTAACCGACGGAGCGGCGTGGCGGAGGTTGTGATCTTGTTTTCTCCAGCGGTCAGACGGGTTTTGGTACCGCTCGTATCCGCTTCAGTCCTCTACCCTCCGGTGAGGGTTTTCTTGAGCCCCAAATTCCACGCCAATATAAACGCTAATCCTATCCCGACCCCATAGACGATGACGAAGAAGGTAATCCTGCTGTTTAGTAGTCGCCACATGGTCATCTCCCCCATTTCCCCATTGGCAAACAATCCAATTGTCGACTCGTTGCCTGATCTTGATCCACCACTCGAACAACGGGAAAAGGCTCAACAACAAGAAAAATAAGACCAGGAGCAACGCAAAGGCCGTATTGGCGTCGGAATTTTTCCTACTCTCCTCTGGCAAATAATTCCAAGCAGTGGCGGTCCGCACGACGATTCCCCCGCTAAGAATTACTGTGCAGACCAACATGAACGTTGCGAGATTCAGCGCTCGAGCGACCAGCAACCACACGGCAATTTTCCGTCTACCCATGTGCCCTATGTAATCACGTTGTCCCTCTACTGACCGATTCCCACCACGCCCCCATCCACCAGCGCGTCCACCTCGGCTTCCGTGTACCCAAACTCTCCGAGGATGGCCCGGGTGTGCTCGCCCAGGCCCGGCCCCCGATGCCGAATGCTTCCCGGCGTAGCCGACAGTTTCACCGGCACCCCAATGTTCTGCAACTCTCCCATCTCGTCATCCTGGAGCGTAACCTTCATCTCCGCGCCAAACACTGCTCATATGTCATACACCTGCGCCATGTCATATATCGGGCCGCGACCACTCCGGCAGACTCCAACAACTCCATCCAATAGTCTGTAGAGTGTCTCATCATGATCCCTTCCAGCAATGCCGCCAGTTCCTCCTCACGTGCCTTGCGGTCGCTGGACTCCTTGTAGCGCGGATCCTCGATGAGCGCGTCCTGCCCGATGGCGCGGCAATACTGCTCCCACGTCGGTTGCGATGCCGCTCCGATGTTGATGTAGCCGTCGCTGGTGCGCAGCGCCTGGTAGGGCGCGTTGACCCGGTGCGCAGAACCCAGCGGCCCAGGAATCTCCCGATGCAACAATTACAGTCCTCCTGCCGTCACTCCCACACCGTGAACGCTATTATTCCCTATGCCTCCAGCAGCGACCGCATCCACCTGCTGCCTGACCCGTCCGCTGGGCGTGGATGTACGTTAACCGCCAGGATGCCAAAGGCGTAAAACTGCCGGCCCCGATATCGGTGATGGGCACTCCCACCTTCGCCGGCGGGCCGCCGTGGAACCCGTGTGATACTCATCAAAACCGCTCATCCCTGGGCCACCAGGTCAACCCGCCCCGATTGCGCGTACGGCCCGCCCTCCCGCCAAAACCGACGATGCTGCGTAGACAGTCGCGGGTTGATCTGCGACAGCTCATCGTAACCCAACCCACACCAACCGGTCCATCACACCGGGACGGAAGTTCTCCGCCACAATGTCCGCCGTCTGACACCATCGACGAAACACAACCCTTGCCTCGTCCGAGCGCAGATCCAGCGCAATGCTCCGCTTGTTTCGGTTCAGCGCCAGAAAGCCGGCGGCGAACCCATTCTCATACCGACTCCCATGCGCCGCGTGTCGCCCGCTGCCGGCCGCTCGATCTGATGACGTTGGCGCCATATCGGCCAGCAGCATCGTGCACATCGGCCCCCGCCATATCTGCGTCAAATCCAGCACCTCACCCCCACCACGGCCGCCGGACTCCTGCTGATTCATAACTAACTCCTCAAGAAAAGCCCACGTTCTTACAGTCAAACGGCTTAGTATGTATGGCGAAACGCCCGAAAGCAAAGCCCTCTCCCTCTGAAAGGGTGTCTAAAAACTCCCTCTCCCCTTGTGGGAGAGGGCTGGGGTGAGGGGTCGTTCCCCCGCTATTCCACCTCTCGCCCAATATTCACCAGGCGCTTTTTAGATACCCACTGAGAGAAGGATTGGAGTAAGGCCCGTCCCTGTTTGACACCCTCGCTGCCAACCCGGATAATGCGCCATCGGGTCGGAGGCGCGCAATGGGCGACATTATACTGGGCGACAATCTCGATGTCCTGCGGACCATGCCCGACGGCGAGTTTTCAACTCATCTACACATCGACCGCCTTCACACATGGCAAAGCCCAGTCCCGCACTCGCATTCGCGTCTCCCGCGACGACGCCGGCGACCGCACCGGTTTCCAGGGACATCGCTATAAGACCCACGTCGTCGGCTCCAGCAAGTACGATGACGCCTTCGACGACTACCTGGCTTTTCTCCGTCCCCGCCTGCAGGAAGGCTACCGTGTGCTGAGCGATCAGGGCAGCTTCTTCTTCCACATCGACTACCGGGAAGTCCACTACTGCAAGGTGATGCTGGACGAAATCTTCGGCCGCGATTCCTTCATCAACGAAATCATCTGGGCCTACGACTACGGCGCCCGCAGCAAAACTCGTTGGTCAGCCAAGCACGACAGCATCCTCTGGTACGCCAAAGACCCAACCGTTACACCTTCAACTACGACGCCATTGACCGCATACCCTACCTGGCGCCCGGGCTGGTGGGCCGGAAAAGGCGCTGCGCGGCAAAACCCCCACCGACGTCTGGTGGCACACCATCGTCAGCCCGGCAGCCGGAAAAGACCGGCTACGCCACGCAAAAACCCCTGGCCGTCATCCGCCGCATCGTGCGCGTCCATTCGAACCCCGGCGACCGCCTGCTGGACTTCTTCGCCGGCAGCGGCACCATCGGCGAAGCAGCCAGCCTCGAAGACCGCAACTACACCCTCATCGACAACAACCCGGAGGCAATTGACGTGATGCGCCAGCGGTTGGGAGATAGCAGTACCGATCTAACCCAATACGCAAAGTCTAACGGAGATACACCTTGACCTCCCCCAACCGCACCAAGCAGGAAGCCGATTTCATCTTCCACGAGCTGACCCGCTCCATCTGCCCCGAGTGCAAAACCGTCATCGACGCCCAGGTCATTATTCGCGACAACAAGGTCTACATGCGCAAGCGTTGCCCCACCCACGGCTGGTTTGAGGGCATCATCAGTTCTGACGCCGAATGTACGTCGCAGCGTCCGCTTCAACAAACCGCACCATTAACTGGATTATCAGCACCGAGGTAAAAGATGTGTTGCCCGTTGAGATTGCGGCCGCTCTGCCCCGGAGCACACACAGCACATTTGCCCAAACATCGGCCTCATCGAGGTGTAGACACCAACCGCCTGCCAACCTCACTGCTCCACTTCCCGTGTGCTTCGCCAACGCCCGGCATCGATACAACCTGACCCTGGAGCAGTGGAGTCCATGCTCGAACCCAAAAAAGCTTTTGTCGAAGTGAGGGCGAACCCGACCCAAAAGTCACTCAAAACCGGTCTCAGCGGAACGGCGAACCGACAATCCACCTCACCTGGCACACCGAATGATCCAGGCCGCCAGGACGCGGGGCATCCGCCAGGTGATGATTACACCGAACGCGTGTGCGGCTGGCCACATGATGACAGTTCCTCGCCAAATGTCCGCGTGCCCACAAACGGTGGTCTACTTCCAGTTCGACGGCCTGCGCGAGGAAACCTATCTGACCATCCGGGGCGAACCCCTCCTAGACACCAAAATACTGGCCCTCGACCGCCTGGCCGACGCCGGTATGTCCGCCGTTCTCGTCGCCGCCATCGAGCGCGGCGTCAACACCGATGAGGTGGGCGCCATCGTCGAGTTTGGCCTGCAACACCCTGCGGTTCGGGGCGTCGTGTTCCAGCCGGTAACCCACGTGGGCCGACACATCCCGTTCGACCCCATGACCCGCGTAACCATCCCCGACATCATCCACGGCATCGTTGACCAATCCGACAGCCGCTTCGTGCTCGAAGATTTCGTCCCCGTGCCCTGCTGCTTCCCGACGTGCCAGGTAAACTCCTACATCTTCGTCGACGGCGACACTATCACACCCTTGCCCCGCCTGCTGGACATCGACCAGTATCTGGACTACTCACAACCCGAACGCGCCTCCCCAAGCGGCCGACGACCGCGGTGATCAGAAGCTCTCGAAGGTTTGTGGTCGGCCCTCTCCGCCGTCGCTGGAACCGAGAACGTACGCCGGTCAGTTCGAGTGCGTCCTGCGGCCCCGGCCTCGACCTGCCCTACGAGATGAACCATCTCAAAGACCACGCCTCTTCCAGATCGCCATCAAAGACTTCCTCGACGCCTACACCTTCAACGTGAAGCAGGTTATGAAGTGTTGTGTCGGTATCCTCACCCCCGACGGCCGCGCCATCCCCTTCTGTGCGTACAACTCGGTCGGCTATCCGAGCAAATCCGCGACCAAGCTCACCATCGGGCAGGACGCAGGAAATTCACTCGCACACACAACAGCCGCGCGAGCCCCTAAAAAATTCTCCCTCTCTACATCAGGGGTGAGGGTTTAGGTGAAGGTGAATAAAACAACAGCCCCAAATCCCCTGAAGGTCCCCTCTCCCTCGATGGGAGAGGGTTAGGGTGAGGGTGGAATCCTACTCTTAAAGTCCCCTCTCCCTGACGGAGAGGGTTAGGCGTGAGGGTGACATCCTCTATAAAGGTCTCCCTTGACGGGAGAGGGTAGGGTGAGGGTGGATGGATCCTATAAAGGTCCCTCTCCTTGACGGGAGAGGGTTAGGGTGAGGGTGGAATCCTATAAAGTTCCTCTCCCTTGACGGGAGAGGGTTAGGGTGAGGGTGGAATCCTATGAAGGTCCCCTCTCCCTTGACGGGAGAGGGTTAGGGTGAGGGTGGAATCCCACCGCCAACGATTTCCCCCACACCCCAGTCCTCTCCCACCCGGGACAGGGGGCGGGTGATTCTCTACATCTATGCCAGACCCAAACTACGCCTCCAAAATCTGCTGCGCCGACCTCTATTCGTCGGAGTTGGCTCGCCTCATTCTGGGCGATAGCTTCCATCCCGGAGGGTTGCGCGTAACCAACCGCCTGGGTCGCGTCATGGGTCTGCGGCCTGGATGGCGTGTCCTTGACCTGGCCTGTGGGATGGGCGCCAGCGCAGCGGCGGTGTCGAGGGTGTTTCATTGCCACGTAACCGGTCTGGAGTTGGGCGCTGACGCAGTGGCAACCTCCCGACGCCGCACCCTGGAACAACCCGTGCCTGCCGATGTGAGCTTCGTGCGCGGCGACGCCGAATCGCCGCCGTTTCGCTCCGGCGCCTTCGATGCCGTCATTATCGAGTGCGCCACCAGCCTGTTCATCAACAAACCCGAGGCCATCCAGGAGGTCAGCCGGTTGCTGCGACCCGGCGGTGCGCTCGGTTTGTCCGACGTAACCGTAGAACCCGGCAGCCTGCCGCCAGAGCTGGAGCAGCGCGTGTCTGATCTGTGCCTCACCGACGCCCATCCCCTGTCCGACGGTACCAATACCCTGCTGAAACGCGGTTTCATCACATGAACGAACGTGAGGATGTTTCGGACGAAATCTCCGCTTTGCTGTCAGAATTGCGCAGCAAACTGGTACTGTGGCAAACCTTCGCCGGACCGGCAGCCGGCTTCACCGACGACCTGGCCGCTTCAGCGCCCGATTTGATCGATCGCGTCGGCAATCTGGTGCAGCGAGGGCAAATCGGTTACTGGTTATACGCAGCCCGCAAACCCGAATAATCCCAACCAACCGGTCCCGCCAACGGCCGGACGCAATCGCCTGCCTATGCTATGATAATATCGCTTACCGGAATAAAGAACCTTAATGATATTAGAAGGAATCGCTAGCCTGACGCCCCGCCTGTTCGCGGCGATTCTGATCGGCATATCTCCTGGGCAGCATCCCGTTCGCTTACCTGGTGGCGCGACTCAAGGGCGTGGATATCTTCGCCACCGGAAGCCGCCGGGCTGGCGCCGCCAACGTTTTTTGGCACGTGGGCCGCTACCGTGGGATGCTGGTTTTCGCCGGCGATGTAATCAAAGGTTCCGTCGCAGTTACGATGGCCCAAATGCTGGGTGGCCCCGAGTTGATCGGTATGTTGGCCGGCGTGGCAGCCATCGCCGGGCATTGGAAGAGCGTATTCACCGGCTTCAGGGGCGGCGATGGAATGGTGGTGCTGGTAGGCGTCTCGTTCGCTTACCTGGGCTGGTACATGCTGGTCGGCTGCGCCGTGGGTTTCGCGTCGGTACTGGTGTTCCGGCGCTCCGCTTTCCGCTCGTCGGTGGGCATCTTCCTCGGTTTCGGTACCATGCTGGCCTTCAACACCGTCCGCGGTATCGATTGGTCCGTGATGCTGGGACTGACCGCACTGGCAATGGTGGTGATTACGCACAACGTCTTGACCAACGCCGACCACGTACCCACCGCGGAAACCACCATGCAGATTGGCGAATTGCTGATCGAAGACACCCCGGCAATCCTCAGCGAAGCAGCCCGCCTCAGCGAAGAGGCCATTCTCAGGAGCAGGAATGAAAATCGGAAATGGGCGGACCGAAGAGAGGAAGGCAGACACAAACAGAACGCCACTTAGCCCGGAAGTTCCCGAGGACAACTAAAATAGGTGTGTCAATAAGCAACTAAAAAAACCTCAAACTCAAAATGGGGGGGGGGGGCGGGGGTTAAAAGATACCCAAGC